CTTTATTTACTACCGGTAAAATTTAATACATGCTGCTTCTCCATACAACTTCCATGCTTGCCCAAACTGATACATCACAGCATCAATCCAACACAGTTGAGTTACCAAAGTCAAGATATCAGGTTTCCTGTATTTATTTGCTACATCTATTGGTTAAGACTTTCCAAGCCAGACTGAATTACAAATTATTATAACAGCACAGTTAACTGTACCTATATGGGAGATCCAACCCAGAGATGCTAACTACTTAAGCAGAATGTTACAGTTCTAGCAAAATTGCTAATCACAGCTGAATTTGCTGAATCAGAAGAAAGCATTCTATGTCAAGCATAGAAATTATGTAGAAAAGTGATACTTGGGCAGCTGCAACACTGGTTATTCTATGTCAGGTGTGAATAAATTCATCTAAAGTATATCCTCTTAAACTACAAACTGATGATCCCTTGAGCATTAAGAAGAGATTTTATCTTGTCTAACTGTTCCTTTCGATTGTCATAAGATTGACTTTTGGATTAAATAAAAATATAATCAAAAAGAGCACACTCACATAATTACATTTATCATCAGCCCATTTACATGGCATTCAAAATATTATAAACCATTTTCCATTTAAATATATCAACATACAAGTGTTTATGGTTGAGATATAATAAATTCTTAGCTACACTCTATAAATAAACATTCAATTGAAACAGTCTTCACTTCCAGTTGTTCATTAAAGAATCAAGATAAAGAATAGATCTATAACAAATATTGAACGATTATAACAAGAAAAAACACAGCCTTACATTTTCAGAAATAATCTTCATGTATAAAAACTGCACAGAAACAAAATGACTTATTACTCCACATTTATTCCCTGAAATAAGATATAAGACTTATTTTCCGAAATAAGATATAAGACTTATTTCATGTGACTAGGAATGACACTTCAATTTATTTATAACTAAAGTGTAATGTTGCAAAATACACAAATACTTTCAATAGCTTAACAAGCAAGAGTAGTAGCTGCAAGAAATTAAAAATTTGGTAATGAGTAAAACATTTTTTAAAAAAAATTAAAAAAGATATTAGTATTGTCAATAATTATAGTTTTCAATATATGAACACAATGTGCATGAGAAGACCATATGTCAATTTGGAAGTGTGTGTGTGTTTACATCATTCACAATAACCATATACAGACTGATCCACGTAAAATAAGGTTTTCTCATAAAGCATGAAACACAGATTTCTTAAACAACAAAAGACAACTACTTGCAGTACAATAGTGACATTTGAGTCAGCTGCTCAACTAACTCTTTCTTCCCATAGTATAGGATAAATGCAATACTAAAGGAAGATCAAATTAAATATCACCATACATCAGTTGGCTTTCACTAAATTCTCAAAGTACTTGAATGTTAACAATGTATAAATTAATTTCCAGATTTCTAGCAATCAATAGCAATAGTAATTAATTTATTGCTGTTTGGCAGAATAGAAAGTGATAATTCAACACACCAGTCAAATATTGTGCCCCAAATAATAAAACAACTATAAATTAATTATACAAAGTAATTGTTCTCTTAGAGTTCCAATTTTACCATAAAAGCAACTGAGAATTACATTATCATTTGGTGAAATATTCAACCATATTTAACATTTAGTATGAAAACTACAGACAAACTGAATAATGACATACAGTGCCTCAGTAAGTATATAAACCAAAATAGTTAAAAAAATCTTACATTAAAAATTGTCATAAGTAGCTACACAATATACACAGGTAAATAAGTCTTTATATCATATACAAAGTACTATCAACCAACTTTTTTACCATTAACATTTCAAAACCTCTGTAATTTATATGAAACTCAGAAGTAATTAAAACAACTGAAAAATCACTGAAAACTAAAATACGTTATAGGTGTACTAAAGCTGACATAGTTAAAACATTGTTTTATATAAAAGAAATAGTTTCAAAGAACAATTTGTTTTCATAGTTTTGAACATATATCAGTTGAAGGAACATTTTAATATTGGTAACATTTTTAGTTTTGAATGACTCAAGTAATTTTCAATCAAGAAACAACTTGCACCATGTGCCTTTGTTTTTCTTCATAGTACATTAATTTTTTAACAAAGGTGGGAGTAAAAATTGTTACAAGATTGTTCAAAAATGAAATACAGAAAACAGAAGCAAATTAATTTTAATACATTTTTAGCCACACCAAATTTATCCTTAAAAACAGTGTTACAGATGAAACAAAAATCGGGAATTCAGAGAAAAGGAGTTAAACATCATCGATAAAAACATGAATGACAGTTCACGTTTGTTTTGTGACTGAAGTAGTTTTGTATCGCAATTTTTTCTTGCTATGTCATAAAACATTTTTGGCAAACAGGTAGAAAAGGTCAAGAAGAAGAGGGGAGAGAGAAATTTCACAACAGTTCACCTCCACCATGAATTATGTTGAAAATCATGTTTTAAATACATCTAAAAATTTGAGGATGCAAACATTTGAACAATTTCAATACCGCAGTACAGCCAAAGCACCATTTTATTAGATAGCCAGAAAATAGCTTAACACTTCCACCTCTACACTTACAGATATTTCATGCATTAATATATGAAAGGCTGAAAGGATCAAGAAAATATTGACATTCTTTATATACATATATATACACACACATGCACAGTTATATACACATATTCACACATACACGTATATATACACACATATACAAATATATACAAGTGAATTTAGATAGATATAGTCATTAAATATTCATGTGGTACTGGTATCTACGGCTCCATATGTGAATAGTATTTATTTTTCACTGGAATTGTATGGAAACAGAATTGAGAAATTACTTTTTGATCACACATGAAAACAATTCTCTAGATTTTGGAATCTTTCTTGTGATAATTGTTACATTGTGTACTACAATTTAGTGGTGCAGAGTTATCCAGTCAATATTCTCATTGTAGAACATTTCATAAAATGTATAAGATATGCATTTTATTTGCCATTGCTGTTATATCCAGAGTTTATTTCACAAACTAATAGGAAAACCTTTATGTCCGAGCTTTAGAGTCCAATATTTTTTAATTCCAACTTTACAACAAAACACTTATTTATTCCTGCTAATAAAATGAAAGCGCAATGTTGCAGACATTTTGTGATTAGCATAAAATGGGTATTAATGAAAGAAGACAAACTGCATAGATGATATGCAATTAATGATTTTGCCAAGATTACTCCTTCACTGAATGAGAATGAACTTTTTAAATGAACATACATTAATTATATCATATATTATACAGAGCTTTCCCACATAACTTCAATATTAATGTGGGGTGCTCTGATCATGCTGAAATATTTTTCAGAGGAGATTTCCTGGTGTTAAACTATATCATGCATGACACATAACACCATTGGTCATAGAAAAATTAATTCTTCAGTGATTTTTGGTATCATTCAACTAAATAACACTGGGCTGAAAACACACCTTAATTTTTTCTCACAGTATCAATCTAAATACTAGTGAAACACATTGAAGGAAGACATTGATTAATTTTTCTAAGTAGATCAAAATCAAATTTTCACGATTATTAATTTTTTAATGTTGAATTTCTAGAATTTTGAACAAGTTCCTGCTGTACTATTGACTGGGGGAATATATTTGTAGATTATATTCTTTCAACTTAGTCAAATAATTACTTTATGGTGTATTGAAAGATATGTATTCCAGTAAGCTAGTAGTGATGGCAACTCGACAGCCAAAATTGGGAATGTGTGCCTAAGGGTTACAATTCATTTATGGAGGCTAACATTTAAAAACGACAATCTATTCACAAGTACATACACAATCTAGAGCAGAAGATTACAAGTCTGTAATTACCAATAACAACAGTGTTAGGGTAAAATACATGTATGCATTTATCATACAATATATTCACAAAAAAATTGTAAGAGACCAAACAAATATCCTTAATTCTTTGTACAACTATAACACTTAATTCTAAATACTAGCCATTACTTGTTATTTTTGCAGCATGATTGTCAAATCAGTAAGGTTCTCTAATTCATATTAAAACAGAAATACGAAAATAAACTCAGTCAAAAATTTCTACAAAACATTTTGGTAATTTAGTAACTAAATGTTACCCTTCTTACACAAATTGTAATAGCTGCAACAGATGTTTTTCCTCTCATAGACCTTAGGGACAATTATATTCTTTCTAAATAAAAGAATAGCTAGCAGTATGATAACGAAATATGAAACAATGGACAACACATGGTTTAATACAGGGAGCTGAAAATTATAACAGATTTATAATTAGCAAATATTCTTAAATTCTTGCTTTAACACACACATTTTAGAACCATTGAGTATGATTGGATTTTTAGTTACATTGCATGAAAAATTTCTGTAGTAGAAACTAAGACAATAGTATTTAATATGCAATGAAACTTCTCAATATGTGTTTTGAGCTACTTGGTCTAACCAGGAATGTGAGATCTCTTTAAATAATAGGAATTAATTTTGCAGTGGGAACATTACTCCTTATTATGATAGGAGAAACAATATTACAGAACTAGATTCAGTAGGGGTTCCGCATTGTAATTTAACAATTTCCTACCTCCCAATTTCCTATACTTTTTTTATAAGAGAAAAGTGCAAAGATAAAGGATAATTTTTCTGGACAATATTATTGCAACAGAATTTTCTCTTGTTTCATGTAGAAAATAATATCTATATTATATGCCAACATGGCCATCGTTAATCAACTTTATTCCATTTTTCATTGCTCATAATATTTCAGTTAACCTTACTTTTTCCCTAATACTTTGTTTTCACAAAATATTAACATCAAATTCACATTTACAATGCTACTGCAACTAAAATCATCTCTCTCTCACAGATAATCATAATACATTACAATAATTTATTTTACAATTGTCTGGTAAGAAAAATGTCAAGGCTTCTCTATGTAACCAAGTTTTAGAGTGGCAGAGGAAAAAAAGATAGATGGAAAAGGCAGACTGACTCAGAGATGACATTTCCTTCAAGATGAGCAGAATACTTGACTTCCTGCATTGCAGTATAATTCAGTACCTAAAGGATCCAAATTTATCAACACCAACAAAAAATGTAAGATATTATAATTGTCATTTATTATTCTTTTTCATTTGTCACATAATTCTTTAAAAAAATATTTTTTGGTAAGAAGACATTAAGATTCAGCAGTAGAAAGTAATCATTTTCAATCCTCTTGCACACATGTTGATGGCAGGTAGTCAAGTGAATACTGGAATTTGTAATACTTATACTTCATTAGCCCAATACCTCATCACTGGACTTTATGCCTCATTCCACTTTTTCCACTCCCTTCATTATTACATTTCACTCAAAGTCATCCTTCTCTGTTAATTCTCTATATAGCAGCTTTCCAGGTTGCTATTGGTCTTCCTCTTTTCCTCATTATTTTACCACCAGTTGCTTTGCTCTTCTTTTCTTTTCCCCTCCAGCCCCATAACTACAACCACACCCTCTTAATTGTTCCTTCTTCAATCACACCGAAGTGATTTCCACATCCCTTTAATTCACATATTCCTTGCTTTATCTTTCTTATTCATGGTCCTCCACAAGTACGTTATTCCACTAGCCTGAATTTTACTTCTAAGTTTCTCTTTTATAGGTAAATTTTCTGTACTATTATCATCATAAGATTTATTAATCTAATTACATTATTTTAAAATGAAAATGATGATGAATGGCTTCTTTGATAAAATTGTTACAGCCAAATATTATTTTAAAACTTATGAAAAAATGATCAAATGGCCTCGTAATATGTATTTATTGTATTTTATTGCAAGTTTTCTTTTCTCCTTTTGCCTCCTCCCTCCAACATGTTTGCAAACTTCATGGTACCCAACTCATTTTCACTAACTGCATGCACATTGTTTAACATTTGATTCACAAAATTTCAGAATAACTAATTATATTGAAAACATTTGTTTTTCAATTTCACAATCTTTACAAAATGTGATTTTGATTTACTAGATACTTTGATATTTCAATACAGGTGTCCCATGCAGTGCCGGTGCTAGACATAGGCAGATCGGGCAATCACCCGGGGCTCAATGACAGGACTGGTGGGCAAAATTTTTTTTTTTACTTGGAGGAAAAAAAAAACAAACAAAAAACAACAACCACCCTCAAGAAAATCATTATCGTATTTTTGTAAGTCGGGGTACAGTAATCTGATATATCATAAAAAATTCAATAAATTTTTACCTTACACAATTCTTTATAGTCATTACTTATAATGCAGGACTATGAAATGAATCAAATGATGCTAACATTAAAATAGGTAGTACTAAAATTCAAATTTATTATTTCATGTATTTAACATCAAGTGATTATATTAAACACTAACTAAACACAAATTGTTTTTGGTGTTTTAAGATCTGTGTAAATTGTATTATTTCATCACTAAATACTTTTACTTAAAACTATTATTTAAAAATTAGTATTTCTACCATCTTTTCTAGTTTAAACATTGTAATTTTTGTTATTTGTTCAAATAAATGAAATAACTCAGTTTCTTGATACTACATTCACATTTTAATGGGGGGGGCCTACATTTCAGCATTGCCCCAGGCCCAGAATTGTCTAGCGCCGGCGTAGCACTTCATTAAGAAGGCTGAAGTACATTTTCGAAATAAACTTCATTTACTACATTCTAATTATTATTGGGGAATTCACCTACTGACTTCATGGAAGCACAAATTAATAGAAACACAATGAAAAAACTTGGGCAATAGAACACAGTACATATTACAAAGAATGCCAATTGATTAATAAGCAATAACAATTCAAAATATCACAGATAATACAGCAGAATTCAGATCAGAAAAATTGTTAGATGAATCAAGCTATAAACATTACAAATAAAAAAAAAAGATATGGATGCTTTTGAAAGAATAACAAAAGCAATAAACAATGAATCAAATGTCCAAAAACTTTGAAGTTACACATACTATAAATGATATGCTCCCACAAAGTTTCAATTTTAATTTTTTTGCTGCCTTGTCTTTTGTTTTCATGGAGGGTTTATACATTGCAAGGAAATTATAATGCTCTTCCTCAAAATATTAGGTAGCCTAGAAATTATCAAAGAAAATTCTCTTATTAATAATAAAAATAAAAAAAATTTAAAGAAAAAGTTATATTTTGTGACATTTATACATACAATAAAGATAAGATCACTGTGTATTGTACCCATACTAGTAAAGAAAGTGATTTTGGCCTGGAAGAGATTTCAAATAATTCAGAATTGTACTGTTGATTACAAACACCTCTTCAGAAAATCTAAAAGAAAATGTGCTAAGACAAAGACCAAACACCAACTTTTTCAAGAAACCTTGCATCATAAATTAAAGAATGCAGGTCACTTTCTTTTGTTAATACAGGTGAACATCACACAATATGTATTATTGGACAAGAAAATATATAATTATTATTGACACAGTGATACAAAAAATGTTGCTTCAATCACAGATTATACACACAATAGCATAATCACAATGATTCCACCTGACGTGGCTGTCATAATAATGTAATGACTCAGAAAGTATGTCATAATTGCCATAATTGGACCAAGCTTTTTTTCATCAGCACACCAGCAAATTTAGTTCTGGGAAGAAGAGAATTTTTGGTGAAAGGAAATTTAAAGCTGATGTCAACAACCCTGGTAATTTAATACATCTCTACGTCATGTAATCTCTCAGTCAATTCCTAGTTTCATTTACATTTCTTAATAGTACTACACAAGCAGAACTACAAAATTTAATCTTGAAGAAATTATACTCTAATTAAGTAAATCTTGTTAGAAAAATTTGAAAAGATAAATGTAGTTGGACAATGTGTATATTTTAATATCAAAAAGGTCATCATCTGTTGTATATGAGAAATCTGAAAATCATAATTTTTGGTTCTGGATGATCTCATTCAAAATATTTAATCTTTGGGGTGTCATTTCAACTATTAGCAAGTAAATTTCTAATTCCAATATCATCATCATGATGTACTGCAGTATAAACGGCATGAGGCTTGTTCCTGGTTCCCTAATTCCATTATTAAATATTATTGATCCAATTCACATTCTGTATTAGACTTTATACACAAAAATTCCGATAATTCACAGCACTGACCATACACTTTTCCACCATTAATCAGAAGTCTGATTATCAGAAAGAAACCAGAAGCCTTGCATACATCTAAACTTATGTTTTAAAGTAATTTTCACAGAAAATTTATATCATTTCTTACTTTACTATTAATTCAGTTTAATTTTTTATAATTAAAAATAAAAAATCACTTTGTTGCTTTCTTTGACAAATTAGTTCTTTCTGTGAAATAAAATGGCTTCACATGAGCATTTCAAAAGATACAAGTAAATAAATTAAAACAAACCTTTTACTCGCTGCATCTCCTCCTCTTACCCATTTAATATCTAAGCAAGCAATATCGATTTATATCCTTAAAAACAGAAAAACAAGCAAAAGAAGGAGCAGCGTCTGCTCTTACAAAAATAGGAACCTTACTGTTTGACTTATAACACTGGTCTGCACAATATCAGATGATTATGACAAATATGCGCAATTAGTTCCTTTTTTATGCTGAAATCAGAATTGTTTTTAATGTTCTTCCATCACATACAGTTTTCCACAATAGAATAAGTTGTATTCAATTAGATATAGCAGAGAACATCATATGTGTGTATATAATGAGTGATTAGAGGGGAACATGACAACTGAGACCTGTATGAACTCAGAACAATACAAATGCTGTGGTTTAAGTGTTCTTGATTGACCTATCAAGAATTGAGAACATAAAAAGTATGCTAGCAGTATCCAGTATGAACAAATATTGCTTATTTATGACATCATAGTTACAGGAATGCTACAGGACCAAGACATAGGATATAATAAAAGCTTTACTTTCTTAGTGAATCAGACAACAGGACTAAGGGAAGGTATTGGAAGATGAAGATTTGGCCAAGGAAAAAATGTGTGCATGGGGCAATCTAGAGTTAACTGCTTGTACATCAAACTGACTTGAAGTGGTTTATCAGTGCTCAACCACAAAAAAGACCACACATCAAGAACCTCTCAATGAAATTTCATCATGCAAAAAATCTAAAGCTATAATTTTTGCTAGACCTCAAATTTAGAAATGTTTGAAGGACAAATATTTTGGGGAACAAAAAGACACTGACTCCTTTAATATCCCTCACTGAATATTTTATAGAGAATGAAAGAAACTGCAAACTTTTGAATTATAAGAAAATTTAAATTTGTATTAGAAAACAAGTTGTAACTTTGGATTAAAAATGCATAATTTTAACTCCTATACTTCACAAGAAAATTCAGAAATTTATTGGAAAATAAGGTAAACAATGAAACAAGGAGAATAGAATGTGATAAGGATATATAATGAGCATAAAATTGAATTTTTGTTTGATATTGAATGTGATCTTCATTTGTTGAGAGAGAAAAAATAAGGAAAGTAAAATAAACCAAGTTTATTATTTCACTGGGGGATTGACAATTTTCATAGCAAGTCTTTACTGCCTTTTTAAAATGAGGTAATAGTTGGGGGCAAATTATAATCTATAAATCATTAACTTATTTTGTATAAAAACCTGTTGTGATAGATAAGAAAGGATATCAGCATAAAAATTGATTTAAGGACATTTATTTTTAAAAAACCATCTGACAAAAAGTTTGAAATGCAGGCCGGTGTAATTAGCAATACACATCATATTGCCAAATATTCTTATATACAACAAGCAAACAAATCATTATATATAAATAGCTCTTCCTCATTACTGTAAGGTCATATAGACCCAGCAAATCAATATTATGCACACACGCCAATGATAACCCCAATCTTAAAAAGACTAAATCCAACAAATCAAGGAAAATGTAAGGCTAAAACGAATTGCAACAGAAGCACAAACTGGAAAGACAAAAGCTTTCATTATCCTACATGCAAATGTACTAAATATTGCAATAAAGCTGGACTCTCCCAATGAGAACTGTTCTCACTTAAAGAATAGTTGTATAAAATATTGGGTTATTATTGAAAATATAAATAAGACTTAAAAAAAGTCAAAATACAGTATTTTTCCTTTGGCAAAATGAAAAAATTATTCTTCAGTAAAACTAGATAACACATGTATAATTAATATAATTTTCCATAGTCTACGCATTTTATTAAAAGTAGGTAACACAAATTTGATCTACATCATGATATAATTACTTGCCTAAAGTGAGCAAACACACAAGACTTCATGAAGTGCTTTCAGTGCCATTTCCTTTCCTAAACTATAATTCAATACCTTCTGTTAAATTATTGTAAGTTAATTTCAAATCTTCCCTTCATGGAAGTTTTATTTTTAAAACATACAACAATGCTCATTTCTTCAGTTGTCAACTGTCATTTCCTACACTTCTGTAGTGACTAAAATCACAAATTTTCAATTAAAAATGATGTCATGAATTGATAAAATTTGGGTGAAATCTGCAAGCTATTGTAATACTACACAAAAAGAACCTGTGAGCCATTAGTACACACCAAGACTGATATTCTTAAAATTTCCCAATATATCACAACACTACAATTTCATTTAATTTGTATATCATTCGCACAGGCTAAAACAAATCACATTGAAAATCAAGGCTACACAAAAAATTGGTTCCACAGTACAAAACAAAATATCCAATGCTGACATCGCTGCAGAATGTGTGTTGATTGTCCATAGGCTTCATGAAGCAGCAGCTTACTCAAGAGACATTGATTATGTTTAAAGCTTAGAAGAGTTCATGTACATTTTGACAAATATGTGTACAATGAGAAGCAAGCTATAATAAAAATAGAGTGAAGCTACTCTCACCTACAGACAATAGGCAATTTCAAGCATAATGATGTGTTGTATGTTATGTACAGAAATGTACTGCAAACACAGTGTAGTAATACAGGGGCATTCACATTCTGATGTAAATTGTAGGTGCAACATAATTTGTCAGAAAAATTATACATACAATTCAAAGTGGAATATTTTAAAGCAATTACAGCCACATCAACAATATTGTCTTACGTGTGTATTTCTCACACATTTCCAGTATTTGATTAACAGTGATTCTCCAAGAGACACTCATAAAATACAACAGACATTCAGTGAGGCAAGCCCAATTTTGTTTTTATTATTACTGAAAGCACTAAATAAGACCTCACCAAAGAATATGTGTAGTATTTTATTTGGAATCAAACAGTTTCATAGTAGTCCTATAAAAATCAAATTACAGAATTTGTGAGATAGCATATGGCCATAAATAAAACAGGCTCTTATGAGAAGGTAGGTAGGCAGTAATTTTCACCACAATTTCCAGTGTAAAATTGACCAACAACACAATATTAAGGCAAATAAAATTAACTTGCCTATTTTGAGCATGTTGTGGCAATATCGCAGTCCAATAATGCACAATTTCCACTGGGAAAAACTCTGCTTTACTGTCTGAACAAAGGCATTAACCATTCATATAAGAATTAGTCACTCCTTTCAACAATAACAACAACAACAAAAAGTACTAAAACATAACACCACGAACTTGCATACCACATTTCACTGGCTATGCAATGTCCAAATTAATAGTTCAGTAAATTATATTTCTGATGGCTTCTGCAAGGAAGACAGAAAACCATCAAAAATACAAACCACATGGCTGCACAAAAGATGAGCACTGTTTCGCCATGTCAAAACCAAAAGTGTAGTTTCAAAAAGATAGTTAAGTCTTGATTTCCAAACCATGGCAACATATTATCTCCACATGTAGACAACACACCACTCATTGTTCATGACATTGAACTACAGGGTAAACGTGGCGTACCCATTTGCGTAAGCACACGATCCAACCACTGCAAAGGGCCGTTTAAGTGTAACTCAATCCAACATGGTGTAGAGGTAACTGTTTGTCTCCTGTGAGTGGACAGAATGCATTCTTCTAAAATTTACTGTACACATACATGCAAAAGTTAAAGGACAACAATATTAAAATCAATTAATAAAATATTTCTTTAGAAAGTAAAAAACAAGTGTTAATAAAATTGTATAAGTTTGTCTAGTAATATTGAAGCTTATACAATATGTAAGTATTGCCTCACTAAACCATTTAAGAGGAGTTCTTGGTACACACAGAACCCTTTTACATATTCTACAGTCCCAAAAATTAATGTGGTCTGAAATTATTTAATTTCTGCACAATTAAGATATCACAATAGCATTCCAAAAGTAAACAAGAGAAATTTCAGTGAAAATAAATGCAATTAATTTCAATTCAAAATTTAAATAAGCAGAAATCTTACGTAAACCAAAAATGGAAAAAAAGCTTTAACTGAATTATATGGCAAGATTTATACTACATAGTTCTAGGCATGTTTTGCAACTAATGCCATTAGCAAAGACATTTGTCTCTCATATCATCTCTTAAACTGAATTATGTAATTTAAAATTCAAAAACAAATTCTCATTTATTCTAATACGTCACAAAATAATAGTATTTTAGAAGATCATCATACCTGTATTCAGCACCCCAGCCTTTAACAAAACTCATTCTTATAGTACACATGCGTGTCAGCTGGAAGACTGCCTCAAAGCCTTGGGACACTGACTGGGACAGCAAAGCAGCAAATTCTTGATTGTTGAAAATCTTCAAATTGCATCCTTCATGTATGGAGAGAAAAAGAAAAGAGAGAGAGAATTTAACTCAATGAGAAAAAAGAACATAAAAGAAATTTGTTGTAAAACAATTATTTCCTGACACCGATAGTTTGTCAATAGATATTATAGTTGTCCTTTAACATTTTTAAATAAAAAAATCTATTGAATTTTCTTCTATTCACAAACTAAGCACATTTCAGGAAAATAAAATTATACACCAATAACACAAAAGAAAATACAACTTTGACCTAAAATGCAGCTGTCATTGCTCAGGAAATTGAAATACTGAAAACTACCCCTCACGTTCCATGTTCCAAAGCTTTCCAGCGAGGCATTTGTAGTTTCTTTTTTTGGGGTTCATGTGGCATATTGTTTTGGATGTTGGATGTCAGAAAAAACAAATGAAAGACAACTTACCAGGTGGTATTTTACAAACAGTAGCAGGGTGCCAACCATACCGCTGATTGCAATTTGGAGACTGCACAAAAATTGAGGAGTCGCTAAGGCATTCTGCAAATACTTCACCACCAATATAGTACAATCTAACGCCCTTCCCAATGTGTCTTCTTGTTTGTTCCACTACAGTGTTTCTATTGACATTTGATAGCAATCCAAGGCAAAATCTTTCTGAATTACTTGGATCTGTAAACAATAAGCAACATTTAAAAAGACATTATTAATTAACACTGATCATGCTCAAACAAGATGATTAATTTACAAGGAAATTTAATTCTCTAACCTACAATGTAGATTCAAATAACTGTTATCAACACACACACACATTATATAATGTTGGCTGCCCTGTGAAGCTGTTTAGTCTCATATGCAATGATGTGCAATTCGATGGTGCATTCACCTATCAGTGAATTATGTATTTCCTTGTTATCAACAAAGTTTACAGATCACTATACAGTGCAGATGAACTATTATAACTAGATATCTAGACTTAAAATAGTACAGAATGCTTCCCTCAAGAGTCCATCAACTAATGTAAGGGGCAGTATAAGAAAGGGTTCTGCAGAAATGTGGTGTAATGTGTTTAGAGTCCATTTTGCAGTAGACATGTTCAAAATACTAAATATTTCTTCTATACACGGATATATTAAAAATATGAAAATAATGATATTTACATTTGAATTCATGAATGTTCACTAATGCCACATGCATTATTCTTTATGCTCACCTGTAAAGCCATCCACAGTAATAGAAGGTTGGGAGGCATGAAAAGTCTCTCCAACACGGGTATTGAGCTCATAATAGCTAATGGAACACCAAAATGCTGGTTCACAATACATGACTGGTTGAGCATCAATTGGAGGAGATGGAGTAAGTCGAGACAAACCTTGCAATAAAACAAATATAGATAATATAATTATTAAACAAAATAAACCATAGGTCTGATATATCATTACACAAAATATCTGCAAACACTTACTCATATTGTCATTATGATCAACAGGGTCCCCATCTTCGGACATATAACCAGGCGGTGGTGTCTCCGTTGCTGGCAACGATGGTGCAACTTGTCCTCCTCCACTGCTACCACCTCCACCTCCTCCTCCTGTACCACCTCCACCGCCACTGCCTCCTCCCCCTCCTCCACCACCAGTGTCCAAAGGTCCACCTGCAATTAACCAAATTCACTAAAATTTGCTCCCCATCCCCAGTGATGTCTATACGAGATGGTTGGGATTAGATAATGGTAAGGTACCTTTAGTGACTGTTACAGCAGAAGCAATTCTTCACAGAATTCTGTACATTGGGTAATCATCAAAAGCATATTTATTGTATTAAAAGTTATTAGGCATTTTACAGTTATTGAACATATTGCATACATTAGTACTGTATATCAAACTACTTCATCAGTAGCATATCAACCTTTAGCAGAAATTTAAAATATCTCTATCTCTCTCTTGACACACACACACACACACACACACACACACACACACACACACACACACACACACACAGGTGTTAACATAATGTACTATTTTGATATTATCAAGGTTTTGATAGCCCATCATTGTTACAATCATACAAACCTCCACCCAGAGGATGAGAGTTGTGGTGATGATGTTGATGGCCTGCACTAGGTACACCACTGAAAGACGTGGTGTTCTCTGGTACTGATGTCTGACTCAGTTCTGCTGGAGGACAGGGTCCAGCACTTCCACTACCGTAAGATGCTCCAGGTGATGCGTCCTCTCCAACAACTCCACTTGAATGCCGTGGGACCAAAATGGCTGGTAACGCTGGAAAATAAACTGACATGAAAACAAGAATATTCAAATAAAATATCACTAAGCAACTGTTGTAATGGAACTATAAGTCATAACACAGTACACATCACATCATATATAAATTAATGCTACATTTTATTACCTCAAGAAACTAAATTTGATTTTTTAAAAAAAAGAGATCTTTGAGTATGTCAGAACAAGTTATCTTGACACTGCAGAAAATGCAGAATTACATAGTTATTGCTGAAAGTTAAAATGTTTAAAAGCCACTTTATATTCATTTCACATTCCAATAGCCAGTAAGGAGTAATAAAAACAATGTTATAAAAAGACTTAATTTGCATTCTTGGTGAAACAAGAAGTACAAAATAATAGATCTTGTGTAAGTGCAATTTACCTTCTTACACCATATCACAGTTTGATTTATAAGAAAACGCATAGGGTATTATAATTAATATATTTGTATGAAATTCATCATCAACACAGTTTTGGAGATAGGACCAGACAAAGTACTACATTTCAAAGGCCAACTTTCCTGTTTCGAAGGTTATAAAACCTGGCTTCCTGTAAAATAATTCTAGTCGTGAATCCATTTACCGAATCACAACGAAGTTACTGAATTGAAGATTTTAAATGCGAATGAAGGTCACAAAAAATAAACGCGAAACCCAGCGTGTGGCAAACACGCGCCTCTCCTTCGTCATAAGCAATCCTCCAGGCGCGGCGGTCCGCGAACGCCGCGTTTCAAACGCCGAGAAAGCGCGTTTCTGACGACCCGGAGCAGATTGTCAAATCCGGCAGCGAGGAAACCAGCCGGTCTCGAATGTCGAGGCGGCTGTCAACCGCCCGGCCACTCACGAGGAGGACGACGCGGAGTGGGGGCCCCAACAGAAACGGGAGGGGGAACAGGGAGGCTGCAGAGAAGAGGGAGTGGTAGGGGAAGAGGAGAAGGGGTGGTGTGGAAGTGGAATCTGAGAGGCTCGCCCCCACCGCAACGTTCTCTACAGTGACTGGAGTCTGCTGGAGTAACCGAGCAGGAGGGGATGGCAAACCTTAATCCGCCCTGTGACGGATCCGGGGGGGGAGTGACGAAGGAACTCCTAAACTTTCGTTGAAATAAACAAAAAATTCTTAATAGATCTTTCAAATATTTTAATTGATTAAAATGCAGATCTGGATTACCTGAAGATGACTAAGGTGAATGTTCTACAGCGACTCGTTCAAAATAACGCGAAATCGAGAACAATTGTTATTGTGTTTATGCAGGTGTTGAATGTACTGATATACAAGAGTGAGTATATTTCAGAGGCGCGCGCAAGGGGGGGGGGGGGGAATGAAGGGGCTCCTCCAAGCCTGATGCCAATGATACATTTTTTAAATCTAGCGTTTACTAATTTGTGTACTAAACGGAAATCATTCAATATATCAATTGTTTACCCTTAAGTATTAGCTATAAGTCCTCAACAAAAATGTATTCACCATAAATGAAGCACATCACAGCGATCTGTTCTGCGTGATCCGTAGCATGTCTAATCGACTTAGAACTTAATTTTGAGCTGTAAAAAAACACTTCACTAAAGTAAAGGAAAATTTTGATTCGTTTTAGACGTCAAGTTCTCAATGATTTATTGCTTCCATCTCCTGTGTTCCAAGTTGAATGCTACAAGCGATGTCAGCTTTTTTTTTTTTTTTTTTTTTTTTTTTTTTTTTTTTTTTTTTTTAAGAAAATACTATAATTTGATATGCTTGCAGAACAAGCATGAGTTATTCATCGCTGCAGACCTAGCTTTACAATAGTCAATGCTGGCAGTTTTCTGCGATGTTCTGTAGCCTGAATTTCATGAATGTCTACAGGAAGAAATATTTTCGTCTATTATATTAGTGTTCATCAAACTTGGCGCATTCACCCTCAGAAAACTGAGCCTGACATTTACTATGTAGTCCAGAATATTGTACCACAATTTACACAGAGCAGAAGAAATACATCCATCCCATTGACAGACTTCACCCTACAGTTTTATTTAGCCATTAATAATAAAATATTATTTCAGTCGACTCCGGCTGCGTGCTTTCAGTGAACTCTGCAATACTGAAGTCACTGGCCCCGTTTCAATTACATTACAAAGAGGCAAAACAAGATTCGATTATAGTGAACTCTGAACCTCCGCTATAGTATACGTAGGAAATACGCCCTGGAAATGAAATACGCCCTTTTTTCTCCCCCCCCAAAAAAAGTCGACCCAGTGCCACAAAATTCAACATTAGGCAACTTGGGTAAATATCGTTGGTCAAAGATCATTGAAGAAGCATAGTGCAAGAGGAATTGAAGGGTGTCAAGAATGCATTACGATACTTAAGAGAGTGGACAATGCAGGATCAAGAACGGAGAGGGCACGAACTCTAGAGACGGATCTAGAGAAGTTATTATTGCAAATGTACGCACCAAACAATTGAAAATGAATTATTTTTAAAATCAAATTAAGATATAAAAATTTTTAGTTCGTGATGTTATTTTATTTTGCTGTATCACTATATTAAATAAAATAAATTGTGGAGAAATTGTAATTAATTTTGGTATCATCGGATATAGTGAACCAAGTCCCCAGAAGTTCACTTTAACCGGACGCGACTGTACTACGTATAAAATTGATTCGCATCCTTAATTTTTCGTAATCCCGGAGAAATATTGTGTATAATGTATTAGTTTACCAAATAAAAATTCTATAATTTCATTATATTTACATTAGGGACAATTTTAATACAAATACAGTTAAAGTTGTAGACATCCAACAAGACCAATATTTTTAGACAAATGTACTCTGTAAAGTCATGGAAATTCGTTAGATCGCACGCATAAACTATCCATTAACGAATTCTCACCTAATCGCAAACAAAATATCCCTTAACCGTTATTGTATTAGATGCACAGCTACTTCTAAAAATAATGTATGAATTATTAATTGCGGAACATTCTGTACTGCGACTTGTCTAGGCTAAGCTTCTCGCAGGACGTTGCATCGCGTCTCTCTAGAGCACTACGCCGGCAGACAAGGGTTCCGGGCGGTGAGCATTGGTTTTTCTGATGTAAATTCACAGAATCTAGAATTTGACAATAACCAAGTTTTCTTTGTCTTATAAGCATATATAACAGTTTCATGCACCACACTAGAAATTGAAGACTTGCCAGGTATTTTCCTGTAGTAGACACAATAAACTGAAGCTTATTACCGGAGCGTTCGTCAGCGATGTACCTTTGTGATCAATACAATAGTCCGAAAACGTTGGTTAAGCGTTTATGCTTGTAAAGCCACCCACCTGAAATATTGCCCAATGCTGTATTTAAATTGAAACACCGCTTTAGTAACATCGTATTGACTGAACTGGTCATCATTACCTGTGTTTGGCTTGAGCATACCATTAAACACCACTTCCAACAATTCAACACCATCCTCGGCAACAAGCAACACCTTTGTAACATTGCAATTGTTTGGATAGCTTTGAAACAGATACGCTCCACAAGTACCATCATTGTTTTAAAGAATAACGACCGGTGAATGATGCTGCACAATTTACCAGTCACATCAACCAACACTTTTCGAAAATTGCTGTTGACCTCAAGAAGGGCCTAAAAGCCACAAAATTCAATCTCAGAGGTTTCCCCATAAAATGTAGATCGACATTTGTTTTTGAAACCATCCAAAATCATCAAAACGGTCGGTAAATTAAAAACCAAATAATCAGCTGCGGTAGATTAATTTCTGGATTGTGTATTAAAGACTTCGGCGCCTATCATTCAATATACATCCATTTACACTAATTTCCAACGTTTATGTACAGGGATATTTTGCACATATTTTCAGAACAGCAAAACTCAAGCGACTTAAAGAAACCCGCAACAAACATAAAATTCAAAATTATTTGTACATTTATTTTTTGTCAAAAAATAGACTTTTTCATACACGAATGGAAACTTCTCTCAGGAAAAACGAGACGTTTTCACACTCAACATGGATCTAGAAAACAAATCTACGGAAGCAGCCATTCATTTATTCAAGATGTTTCATCGATGGATCAAACTGAAGCACCTATTGAAATAATTGTAGAACTTTCGAAAGCCTTTGACGCTATTGAACACAAACTTTACTTTCAAAATCACTTCCATATGGATTTCCTGGTATTGCCCTAACTTGAGATGTTTACGGTACAAAGTTATCTAGAGTAGAAATACCGTGCTGGCATGATTATTTACTCCTTTACTCACATCTTTCAGATTCCTTGCCAACTGAGCATGGGGTCCCGCAGGGTTTATCTAATGCCCTGTTTTCTTTCTTTTATATGTGACATGCCCCATCTATTTGAAACGGAAAAACCGTTCTCTTTGCTAATAATAGGAATATTCTTTGAAAAAATAAAGTACTATTTTAGATGTTTCAAATTGGTTTCTTAATATCAAAGTAATAATAAACGAAGGAAAAATATTTCAATGCAGTTTTGCTTTTTAAACAGCCAAATATCAGCGGAATTGAAAGTGATTGAAACTGGTTGATGTTAAGTAATAAGATGAGTCCCTTAATTCAATTAAATTGCAAATGGAATACCAAAAAAACGAATATGACAGTAAATTATGTTCATTGTGTTATACATTGAGAATTCTTTCCAATTCAGAGAGTTTCTGAAGCTCATTAAATTTCGCGAATGTACACTATGCGTGTGTTGGTCAGTCTGTGTGTGTGTGTGTGTGTGTGTGTGTGTGAGTGTTGGTCAGCCTGCGTGTGTGTGTGTGTGTGTGTGTGTGAGAGAGAGTGTTGGTCAGTCTGCGTGTGTGTGTGTGTGTGAGAGAGAGAGAGAGTGTTGGTCAGTCTGTGCGCGCGCGCGCGCGTGTGTG